ACAGCCTGTATGAGGCCGTGGACACTTTTCCCACACTCAAAACACGCGCTGGCATGGGCCACACCCCATATCTCTCTCAGTTTTCAACCGTTTTGCATGGGGTTTTTTGCAATGGGTTCATGCCAACGTCCTCTCCATTCGTTATTATTGCCTCACTACAGGTCATCCAATGCAATGGCAAGATGCCACCTTGAGCCCTTGAGCGCGGGAAAAGCTTATATAATTACTTGGAATCAATACATTCAACCTGACTTCATTGTAGACTAGAGACCTTTAACCCGTGGGGTGCTCGTTCCTCGCACACCCACGCGTTTAGCGGTCTCTAGCTCCTGCGGAGGGCATCGGGGCTGCGCCCCGAACCCCCCTGGGGCGTTGCCCCAGACCCCATTGGGGCTCCGCCCCATGCAACGACATCCTTGTTATTATTGTTCCCCATGTGCTAAAGAAATAATGAGATATATGGTGATTATTTATGCACCAAGGGGCCAGCCCCTTGAACCCTGCTCCTGCGGAGAGCTATTGGGGTGTTGCCCCAAGCCCCACTCCTGCGGAGAGCCTGGGGCTGCGCCCCAAACCCCCCTGGACATATTTGATTATTTTTTACACCAAGGGGCCAGCCCCTTGAACCCCTGCTCCTGCGGAGGGCCATTGGGGCCTTGCCCCAAACCCCACTCCATTAGTCATGCACAGGAATGAGAAACACCTTCCCCAATCCACTGGGAGTGAGGCCCCTGCATTGTTTTTCTTCATTTTCTGGCCATTTCTCCAAACCCACCACCCCAACCACTCCCCATCACATGAAATTCCTTCTAAGTTTATAAAACAGTGTTCCCCATGTTGCCGTGAATTTTTTTGATTTTATTTTATAGAGAGCACCTTACTTTTATTTTTATTCTATACTGTCCCATGTTGCCGTGAATTTTCTGGATTTTAATTTGCATAGAATACCTTGGTATTATTTTTCTTGGTTTTCCCCCATTGCTGCAATTTTTTCAGATTTTATTCTATATAGAATACCTTGTTTTGGATGTTTCTATTTCATGTTGTCCCATGTTGCCGTGAATTTTTTTCGAATTTTTACCTTATCTGGAACCTTAGTTCATTTGGTTCTGTTGTTGGAAACTCCGGGTTTTAACTTACTTCCTATTTATTTATCTATTTTACATGCTAATAGCGAAAATACAAAGAAAAAAACAATACTACCAATTATTGTACATGCCAATTTCCGACAAAAAACAATAACTAATACAACAAAAATACTACTACTACTATTACTATAATTATTTATTTATTTATTCACTATTTACTACTATTATTATTATTATTATTATGATTATTATTATTATTATTATTATTATTATTATTATGACCTATTTATCTACCTATTTTATCTATTTATCTATCTATTTTACATGCCAAAGTCACATGGGAACAAAAAAGAATTGCTCCCATGGGGGGTGTAAACCGGTTTTGAGTGGGGGTATTAGTACTTTTTCGCATATGTCTGTGCGCGAAAAAAATTGTGGGAGGTTACACTCAATTCCTCACGTGAATTTCCTCAAACTAAACATATACACGTGATTCTTCACATAAACCTATCATATCTCTCTCAATTCTCATCCGTTTCTCCCCGGGTTTTTTTCAGTGGGCGCGCCTCAATGACCTCTACATGTCGTATTATTAGTCCGACTCGTCGTTTGGCGATTCTAGTGAGATTATGGCGACTTTTCTCATTTCCCATGCACAAACTGTATGGTAATCTATTATATCTCGCTGAATACTGCACCAAATGTTCTATAATTTTACATCCTATTTTCTATATTATGAACGCAAGTACAGAATATTTTTACGTATTTTTAGAACATCTGTAGGGTGCTGGGGACCGTTTCCCACGCACAGATCATGCGCGGAGCTGACACTGTATTCTTATCTCTGTCAGTTCCTCCTTGTTTCTCTTCGGGTTTTTTTTAATGGGCGCGTGTCAATGCCCTTTACAATGTTTATTATTTCCCCAACTTGATATTGTGCGATCTTGAGGGTGCCAAGTGAAATTTAATAGAATAATTTATCATATCTCGCTTGATACTGCACCAAATGCTCTGTAATTTTTCATGCTATTTTATATACTATCAACGCAAGTATGGCATATTTTCACATATTTTTAAAACATCTGTGAGGCGCTGGAGACCGTTCCCCACGCACAGATCATCCGCGGAGCTGGCACTGGATTGGTATCTCTGTCAGTTCCTATTCGTTTCTCTTCGGGTTTTTTTCAACGGGCGCGTATTAACTCTCTCTATAATGTGTATTATTACCTCAACTTGATATTCTGCGATCTTGAGGGTGCCAAGTAAAATTTAATGGAATAATTTATCATATCTCGCTTGCTACAGCACCAAATGTCTTGAAATTTTGCGAACCATTTTATATGGTATTAACGCAGGTACCTAATATTTTTTCATATTTTTAAAACATCTGTAGGGTGCTGGGGACCGTTTCCCACGCACAGATCAGCCGCGGAGCTGACACTGGATTGGTATCTCCCTCAGTTCTTGACCGTTTTCCGTCGGGTTTTTTTCAATGGGCCCGGATTAACTTTTTTTACATTTGGTATTGTTAGTGCAAGTCGTAAATCGGCGTGTATGAGGAAGTAGCACGATTTTTCCACAAATAAACCATGTACATTAGTATCTCTGTCAATTCTCATTTGTTTCTCGTCGGGTTTCTTTTGATGGGCTCGGACTACCTCCCTGGTTATTTTCCATTATTGGTGCAAGCCGCGAATGAGCGCGTATGAGGCGGTAGGACATGTTTTTACATTTTTTCACAAAAAAACCATGTACATTCGTATCTCAGTCAATTATCATTCGTTTTTCGTCGTTCTTTTTTGTACATGCTTGTACCAACGCCCTCATTTATTTATATTATTGGCGCACATCGCGAATGAGGGTGTATGAGGCGGTGGGATGTTTTTTCACATTTTTTCACACAAAAACACATGTACATTCGTATCTCTGTCAAATCTTGTTTGTTTTTCGTCAAGTTTTTTTCAATGAGCTCGTTCAAACAGCCTCTCTATACCGTATTATTAACTTTAGTCATCAAACAGCCTGTATGAGGCCGTGGACACTTTTCCCACACTCAAAACACGCGCTGGCATGGGCCACACCCCATATCTCTCTCAGTTTTCAACCATTTTGCATGGGGTCTTTTGCAATGGGTTCATGCCAACGTCCTCTCCATTCGTTATTATTGTCACACCACAGGTTATCCAGCGCAATGGCAAGATGCCACCAACAGGCTTGAGCGCGGGAAAAGCTTATATAATTAACTCTCAAACAATACATTCAACCTGACTTCATTGTAGATGATGAATTCGGCCAACTCCGCTGTGTATGGGGGGAACTGGACCTAGAGTGGAAGTGTACGACGCAGAAATGGAAGGACTCGCCCAAGGATCAGTTCACCTGAAAGCATGACTGGACGAACACTTCCCAATAGAAGATAAACTCACCAGGCCATGAAGACATCAAAGGGAACGAACGCGCAGACCACATTGGCCAAAGAAGGATCCAACCTGCCATCCGTCCACCCACACACCTCCTCAGCAGCATTCATGCGCAATCAAAACAAAAGACAATCCAAAGGCGAGTGGATCTCCCGCTAGAACACAGACCCTATACAGCAGAAAGCGTCAGAATACCGCAGCTGCAACCGCATAGAACCGCACCTCCGACCAACGAAGCGCTTCAAGACTCCCTCTCACAAAGCCTTTAGCCGCCTAGTACAATTACGCACAGGCCACGCATTCATCGGACAATATTTCAACCGCTCCCTCCCAACAGAGGACCCCAGTTGCGCCTGCGGGGAAACCGTAGGAACGAGAAAACACATACTCCTCGAGTGCCCGAAATACGACCACTACCGAAGCCTGCTACCAGACGATGAAGGTGAACTGATCCTGGACGACCTCCTGGGGGAGGAGAAAGGAATGGAAAGAATAGCGGGATTTCTGGCGGCGAGCGGAGCATATGAGAAACAAAGAGAGACATAATAGGGGAAACCGACACGAACCGAGTTATGACACCGCTGTAAGGCGAAACCCAACCCATTTGTCGACACCGTCACCCAAAATCGGCCAGCACAACGCGACCTTGGCTGACCTGCTAATGACCTATGATACCGAGGAAGGATAACTCAAAAGCGGAGCAACATTCGGAGTTAACCTCGTCAGAACGCTCGAATCGGACTTAGATTATTATTTTCTCACTTTATTTTCGTGTATTTATTCCAACCCCTGCCCTCGGCGCTCTCACGAGCAGCCTAAAGTTTGCAGGATAAATATCCAGAATAAACAACAACAACAATCCGCTGTGTATGACCAAAACGTTGCTCTATGTTGGCTGGTGTGCTGCCTGCGATTTCGACCTTTCGAAGAGAGTCAAACCCGAAATGCACCTTATTGGTTGGTCTCGGCTTGTGTTATTCTTCTGAGGGCTTGGAAATTACACGTTCTCGTTGGTCGAGGCGAGAGTATTGAACGGTGACCAAGCCATTGGCACAACTTATGCGGCGTTTACACAGTCGTACTTTCTGAGTCAGCTTATTTGTTCGCCTCGTTTGGAAGTTACAGCTGGTTCGTTCCTGCCTCGCTTGAATAGAGGTTGAAGTAGCCGTTGATAGTACTTGCCCCTCCGGGATTCTATCCCCACGCATCTCCCGGATCGCAGTATGGTGTGCACTAGTTTGGAAAAACAAGGGCATACAGCAGTGCATGTCTATTCGCGTTCAACTCAGTTGTCCTACCGGCGCTACAGCTACAATGCAGCGCGCTTCTACCCCAGCCACCTACGAGCAAAGAGCTAACTGTGGCCGCATAAAGGTCAAGGACCGAATCGGGACACAGCCTCGGATCGGAATATCTGTGTGTGGGTCACCAATAGACTCCGAAGTGCAACGCCGAGCTGAGGTCAGAGCTCAATTGCTGAAACATGACAGTTGTCAAGAAGAATGTCGGGGACGTGGTATATATAAATTACGAAACTCCACACTACTGGTGGCTCCGCAATCATCCCGAACGAAACATGCCCAGTGTATCAGAAAGTCTGTGCAGATGGATGCACTCATGGCCCCTATGAAACCCGGGGAGCCGGTGAAAAAGGCGATGGAACAAAGAAGGCGAGAACATGTTTTATTGTTACGGGAAACCCGAGTCATCAAGCGCGTTCAAAAATACAAAGTAACAGTAACAGGGGGAAGATTAGTCATGATGATGCTCAAAATCGGGTTGAGAGTGAGCGCCACAGGGGCAACAAAACCGCTAATTGGCTGTGATCGCAGGGGGTGGTCCTGGAGGTGGAGGATATTGCTGATGTCCACCAGGGGAAGGCTGCGAAAGTTAAATGAGGGTTGCCTCTAGCAACTGGGCGTGTAGCACGGACGCACTGGATGTGTAGGAGGTGGGTAGCTTACGCCGCCCCCTGTATTCCATCCTCTAGCTTTTGGACTTCCTGTCCCAAATTCTGGAGGCGGATAGGTATTATATGGGTTGTACGGTTGCTGAATGACTATGACTTCTCGCCGCGCACGACGTTGGCGGAAATATAAAATTCCCGCAAGGAGCAGTATGAGTGCCACGGCTATGGATGAGAAGAGTATCGATTTGCTTGTGTGTTGGGGAGAAAAGGCGGACCCTTTACTTACAGATGGAAACCCCGATCACAATGCGAGCCGCAGTGCTCAAACCATCGTTGCACCTATATAAATTCCCCCAGCTTGGTTCAGAGGGAGTACACGATTTAGCAGGATTCGTGTAAGTGGGGAAAGGAAAACTTGAGCACTTCATCGGAAGACAGGGTACCTCATGATGACTTACAAATCGCGACAGTATGTATCTGCCAGTGCAGTCCGTACACAGACAGCAAGGAAGAATAAGAGAACCACAAACATAGCGAGCAAAGGGGGAAGCTCAGATAATGATCTTACTGCTTGGTATGCAGAGACGAATTTGAAATGGGCTGGGTATGCCCTTCGGAGCAAACTGAGGCGGTGCAGGTGCCAATCCCAGAGTGATTGCCCTTGCCCACCGCCTCTTGTTTACGACCCATGTAAGTACGGCATATACCGCTCAGCACTGAGTCGTACTATGAAATGAATTCATTCATTCACATCTCGTTCCAAAGATCTAGGATGCCAGCGTTTACCACTCTACTTCGCCGCATGTTCGAAGACGCTAACTCATTGCACAAATATGTTCTTGATTATGATATCAGCACCGCCGCACCTGTCCATCTCACATACAATATTGCAACCCGTAATTCGTCTCGAAGGACGATCAAGGACATGCTGGAACGTACGGACGTGGATTACAAATCCATTTATGAACTCACTCAAAAGATCACCGCAATCGAACATACTTTACGACGACAACGTGCCATACTTCACAATTTCCTTCAACCCGTGGCTGCCCTTCCCATGGAAGTCCTGCAACGAATCTTCCTGTATGCCATCCAACCAAAAGAATATTTCCATCGCGAGTATCTTCCTTCTCCTGTCACTCTTAGCCAAGTCTCCTCGACATGGAGACATGCGGCTCAATCGTATCCCTTAATATGGACTGTTGTGCGATTGGAACCGTCTGACCGTCGTTCCTATGCACCGTACGCCCGCTATTCTAGAGGTCGTTCTTTAGAACTTCATCAGCGGAAACAAGATTATAGAGGTGCAAGGACGGATGGGCTCGAAGGGGTGAATGTTCAGGATCGGATAACTGCTCTGTCCTTGCCTCTGGATCGGGAAGATGAGTTGGATGCGACCCATTCCAGTCGGTTTTGGGAGAACAGGGGAGTGCCAAACCCCAAGTCCATCGAGCGGCTGGCCCTGTTCGCTCTTCACGATGTAAAAGATTCCTACGTTTACAGGAAAGCTCTGGCAGTCCTTCCATCGGTCCGTCACCTGGTCCTTGATAGCATTTTCATTCCGTTGTCCACCTCCCAATCAGCAAACATCGTTACTCTGACTATCAGTCATGTCTACGTTGATGGCGCAGGGTTTAGTAACTTCATCAATGCCTGTGACCACATCCAGGAATTAACCCTGGACCAAACACGGATGGGCTGGAGCACGGACATCACTTTAATCCCATCTCTCCATACACTATCCATTTCCGTTTCCCCTATACTCCCTGATACCGGAAGGTTTCTTGACTATTACAGGATGCCTCAGCTCCAATACTTTACACTGAGCATGCCATCCATATTGGGCGATCATCATGATGCCATAGAAGATCACCTGTACACGGTGCAGGATTTCGTACGTTCATACTTTGGTGACATCTCTTTCGCCATAACGCTCGCGTGATCCCTACTATAGATGATGGACACCCCGACGATCAGTGCCGTTACCCTGAAGAGTGGAATTAGAATCTTATCTTATGCCCTCAAAATATTATGGACTCCTTCACCTTATCTGGGACCCGAAACACTCCCCGGCGTCACGGACCTCACTATTTCTGTTTGGAAGGACCTTGTTTGGTCTCCAGGGGACATAACTCAGATTCAATGCCTGATCAACGCTCGCTTGGAAGGCCCTCGGGCAAAGCTGAGGCCACTTCAGAGATTATCGGTACCACGTTTCATATTTGAGGATGATGCAGATTGGATTCGAGGTGAGGTGCCAGAGTTGGAACTGACTGATTGATAGTTGTGCTTTGAACGGTACGTGTCATAGACTCGCCGATCAAATGCACGAGACATGTCCCCTCTCTTATCCTTCCCACCATGTCCAGCAACTCCAATTCGAGACAAGCTGATCAAACGGCTCGCAACAGCCCCACCCTCTGCGGTAAGTGGGCCGCAGAGTTAACATTCCGAGCACGCGGAATTCCGCCCAATGAAGGAGGACGGGATTGAACTCATCTTGTTATTTTCAACTTTATTTTTATGTATTTATTCCGAGAACCCATCGCGCTCTCACGATCAGCCTGAAGCTAAATGTTTGCAGGCTAAATATCCGAATTAAAATCAATGAGTGTTTTGCGGGCCTTCCAAGCCACTGATCTGTTTTCTTTCAACAATATGTGAGCATGGTTTTTCTTTAGGCGTTATGGTAGGATTGACTTCCAATGATGCTGCCAGAAACCTTGATTTCTGGACAGAGACTGTGCGTCGTTCCAAGTTGGGAGCGGCACTTTTGTCATTTCTCACCCAATAATATTGCAGTTCTCAATATCCTTCTATCTGACTTATCTCTCACGATGGCCAGATTTGTGCTACATGCAAGAGACGCCTAATGGGAGGAGCATGGGATATGGTAGTGTCTCCTATGATCGCTTGAATTTAAGTCCCCAGCTGATGTCTTTTGCTCTAGCCATAGGCAAAGCTGAGGGTTCCCAAGTAGATTGGCATGGTCATGTCACTGCGATCACCGTGGCCCCCGAGTTCCGCCGACTGTCCCTTGCTCGGAATATGATGAATGCTCTGGAACGAATGTCGGACGAAGTTTACAAAGGGCTTTTTGTCGATCTCTTCGTCAGAATAAGCAATCAGATCGCCATAGATATGTATGAGGGGATGGGATACAGTGTATACCGGCGAATACAACAATATTATGGTGGAATAAATGGATCCCCAGATGAAGACGCTTATGGTGAGTTGTTCCGCTGGTGATTTTACCAGTTGTGCTGATCTTTCACGTCGATAGACATGCGGAAACCCATGTCCCGGGATCCTCATCGGCGCACTGTGAGGCAGAATGGGCGTGATATCGTCACAACTGCTAAAAACATTACCATGTAACACCAAGGCCATTTCATCAATTGGTGATAAACCCTAGAGGGAACTATATGGAATTTCATCTCTTTGCTTTCTCGGCTACGGGTTGCGAGCATTTTCTAAGCTGCTGCACACCGCGTTTGCTCCTTCAGAGGGAAGAGTTGCTTAATCGACTTCTGAACAGACCCATCTGGACAAAGGTGTAGTCGATGGGCTTTCCCCGAGTGGGCGAACGGAGACCAGCAACCTAGATGAAATTGTACCGCTGATTTCGCCGTCCAGTGGAAGGGCCGCTTAACCGAACCTAGAAGGCAGCCCAGGGTCGTAAACAGCGACCTTGACGTTTTGCTGCTTTTTAGGTATTCAGCTGCAGTTTGAGGTTATGGACGGGCAGCTCACACCATTGCAGAGGCGCGGGCCTATTGATTTTCCCTGCAAAGTCTTTTCGCAAGTCCGCGATTTCATGTGTGCTTAAACTGGCCTTTACTGTCCTTACTCATGCCAATATGACGGAAGTTAGCATTACAGCAAGTTCAAGTGTTGCCACTGGATCCGATTAGTGACCCGATCTAGAGCTATTCTCCGACCCCTGTACGTCTCGGCTCAATGGATCCAGCTGGCTTGTTGGGCGCCTCACCAAGCTCTTTCCACGCACTGATTCATCACCAAGCACGTGAAGAGGGATATTTGCCTGACGATGTACTTGCTAGTTCCCTTCTCGTTCATGGCGTCCCTCAAGTCGACGCTTCTCACCTGTTTAGTACGGTCGTCCGGGAAGGGATTGTCGTTATTCCGAAGTAAGTTCTGGGGAAAAAGGATTGAGCCTTGAGGATGGTTATTACGAACGGCCAGGATCACAGTGACGCCGTGTTCGTGAGGGAGCACGACCTGATCCGACGTGGGGCCATTCCAGAGTGGGCTCACATGTAAGCGCTCGTGTCCGTCAATATATCTATCATGGGTTCTGGTCGAGTATGGCTCATCGCGATCGTTGGTGCAGTTCGTGAGGGATAAGAAACAAGGAACGGCTTCGATAGCCTTCGTTTAGATGAATACTCGACCCACCGCTTCAGTGTCACAACCTAGTCCCATGAAATCCTAGTTTTGTGTACTGGGGGACGTGAGTCCTCTGCAACTTCTACGTGACATGCCATTGGTCCTTCATCTGGGTCTCTGAACTGTGCGCTTCCCAGAAGTTGCTCTCTATCGTGGCAAATGACCTCGAAGCCCATCATATTGCACACGTACTGAGAGTACATCCGTCAAGGATCCAACAGTCAAAATTCACACCATTGACGGTGCGACTGCTGACAACTCACTTGGGAATGTTCTACGGATGCTCTGCGTTTCGAATATATGGTAGCTCACAAAAAGATTGGGAAGTATTTCATTTATAATCTAACCACACAACAAGTCTACTATCGATGTACACAATATTTTTGAACTTCAGACGATTTTAGGATAACCATCTGGTTGCAAGGCATCCTCTGGATGTGTTCTCTTTCTGATCATTGCTTCACGCCCGGGCCCTACCCCAATCCACTCTATTGGGATGCCACTACGGCGTTCGATCTCCTCCACATAGGCGCGACAGTTGGGAGGAAGGTCGCTGTACGTCGTGATGGAGGATATCGAAGTTTTCCAGCCAGGCATCGTTACATAGGTGACGTCTACACGCGAAAGGAGATCTAGATCGGCTGTACAGGTCCAAGCGCAGTTAGATGGGGATCGCTCGCCTGGGAGAAATGTAACATACCTGGGAATCCAGGAAGCACTTTTCCGTCTACAACGTACTCGACACCGATCTTAATCTCGTCTAAGTCATCAAGGACATCGAGTTTAGTCAGATTGAACGCATCATAGCCGTTAACGATGCAGGAATGTTTCAGTACAGCGAGGTCTAGCCATCCACAACGTCTTCTTCGTCCAGTTGTAGTCCCATACTCGGCTCCTACTTCTTGAAGATGCTCTCCGATGGCCTACATGGGATTATCAGTGCATTTCCAAAATCAAAACAGCGATTTCCACGTGCGTTTCGTTGTTCGGTGGGAAATGGTCCTTTGCCAACGCGGGTCGTGTAGGCCTTGACGACGCCAAACACTGTACTGATCTGCTTAGGAGGAATACCAAGACCTGTGCAAACGCCTCCGATGCAAGTAGACGATGACGTTACATAGGGATAGGTCCCAAAATCAAGATCAAGCATGAGCGCATTAGCCCCTTCTACGAGGACACGCTTAGGAGGGGAAGAGGTTATGGCGGAATGGACCAACAGCAAAGTGTCGGTAACGAAAGGTCTAAGACGTTCTGCGAGCTCCTTGTATCGAAGGATCTCGGCTTCGGTGTCGTACTCAAAGGGACCATATCGCTTGAAGCGTCCTTCGACAACCTTGCGGAACTTGGTGGCGAAGGTTTCGTGGTCAAACAAGTGATGGACTCGAAGGCCTGAGCGAGAAGCTTTTCCAGAATAAGCCGGGCCAATACCCTTCTTAGTGGTGCCAATACTTGGTCCTGAAGTGAGTACGAGGTATGGGTCACTGAGGCGAACGAAAGCAAACCTTGAGCCTCCCACTTGGAGCTCCGCTTCTTTCAAACCATCTACGATTTGATGAAAATCAAATACAAGCTGCGCCCTATCGGAGATGAACACGCGGCCACTGCAATCGAGTCCTAGGTGGGGCGAAGGACCATTAGCGAGTGCACATACGCGTACAATGAGTCCCCTTGCCTTTCTCCTTTAGTCCCTGGAACTCCTTGAAGAAGGAGGGCAAGTGGATCACAACGCCCGATCCTATAATACCCGTGCAGTTTGGATTGATAACCCCTGGATGGACGGCGGTTGACGAGAAAAGGTCAAGTACCTGTCTCCCAATGAGTTGAGACGCATTAATTGAACTCACCGCTGGGTATAAGATGGAAATCGTACGTCGTCTTCGGTCTGTCGACCGTGGCAGGAACAACAATCGTGTGGCCAGCATTGTTCCCGCCGGCACAGCGACAGCATAGATCGGCTTCAGCAGAGAGTATGTCGACAAGTTTTCCTTTTCCCTCATCGCCCCATTGGGTGCCCAGGACGACGTTAACACCCATATCCCTCCTTCGGCTTTGGGTTCAGTGAGAAGGATCAAATGCCTCATTTGATCATTCAACAAATGGTTCCCACGGCCCCTGGGAGTTGCCGGAGGCTGCCAATCAATCCAAGACCTCACCTCCGTGTTATGGTACAGGTTGTGTTGGAGAGTCCTGATATGAAGCACTCACACATATTTGAAAACGTTATTCAGGGTATGCACAGCTATTGGGGACGGAAAGCTTCTATAGTAAGAGGGTTTGGTCAAGCACTGTGAAGTAAGTGGTCGAACGATTGCTTACGGAGGGTGCGTTCGGAGGAAGAAGCGGCGAGGGATGCGATATCGTCCAGTCACTGAGATATCTGAAACCACGCGACCCTGTCGAGATTAGTGCTCGATTTTGTGAAAATTTCAAGAGCGATGACGATGTCTACGAGGCATATAGCACATTTTCCCCGTTCAGTTGGTTAGTCAGTCAGACTTAGGCTTCTACTTGTTCTCCTCTCTGAGCGTCCTTTTTATGTGACGTCTTGGTGTAATTTTAATTAGACACCATGGCATAAACCGGGGCTGGGACCAATGACTGAGGGCTTACGATACTTGGTGCATCATGGCTGTCGACGTGTCCATGCAAACAAATCCTTGCAACCAGAAAAAGCCAAAAGGAACACGTTTCGTTGCGCATAGAAGTAACAAACAGAACCATTTTTGATCCTTATGGACCTGTGTCCTTGTGTCCAGACAACCTTTCAATGGCGCCCTTCCATAATTGCACGTCAACGCGTGCGCGAGCGAGGATAAAACACTACTGATCATCTTACAACAGTCTCATTCATGATTCAATAAAGGGTTTCGCAGTTGATCGCACTGGAGCTGGCTGCATTCTAAAATTTTGGTCTGAGTTTAGACTTTCAAAACATTTATCGCGGAATTCGATGTATTTCCTTTAGCCATACATAGCGGAGTTGACCGAATTACATTTGCCGTTACCATGTCCTTCGAGCCGAAACCACTCGTGCCTCGCTCTTCAGCAGCCCAAACATGGAACAGAGGTTTCAGAAAGAATCCGCTGGTGTTTGGGATCCCTTTCGTGCTCACACTTGTCATCGCTTCTTTTGGACTCTCCACGTTGACACGAACTCGTTACGATTTGCATGACAATAAAGTTAAAGAGGTTTGTGGGTTGATTACGGTCAGCGTGAACGATAGCTCATTGATTGCTATCTCATACAATAAGGTATCTAAGGAGGAAGAGATCAGACTTAAGAAAGATCGAAGGAAACTTGACATCCGTGAGGAGTACTTCGTGTGTCCTGCCTTTCCTTTAACGGGGATACAACGATTTATTGAGCTCACACCTAATACAAGCGTCTGCAAGCTGATGGAGGGAAGCATGCTGCAAGAGATGACTGGGAGCAAGTACGTGTACCTCGGCCTGAAGGGACGCCCGAATGGGGAGTCCCTCCCTCTTCCACACGATAATTGCGCGGAACCTCGACCATACCACCTCGGACTCAGCTCTCGTGCACCACGTTTAGGTTCCTTTCCGTCCATACGAATATGGGCTTGTATAAAAATTCATTATATTATGCAGTAACGCCATAGTCTTCCAAACTTCCCTGACGCCCTTCCACCGGCTTTTTGATATGGCTTTCTTTCCGCGCTTTTGGGATTGACGTGCCAGATGATTTCTCATAAGAACCTCTGCTCGCATACAATACTTCGGATTCCCCGAGGATTGGGGGCTGGGGTGGTGTCTTCAGATTAGAATCTAACAACTCTGCCAGTAATTCAGGGCTATGCGTCGACGTGAATGAAGGAGGGAACGAGAATGTTGGGAGTTGAGTTAGATGAGAAGGATGTCGGGTAAGATAGAGACGATTCAAGGAGTCCTCCGCGGCCTGAACTTTCAGCATTAGAAGGATCGAGAGAAGAGGAAAGAATGCAAATACGCACCCGGTGTTCTGCCATTTTCAGCGAGTGCCCAAAGCCTTCACCGAGCTTGTCTGACCCTGAATATATTCCGACTACAAACATCGGTGTGTTGGTGTACCGCCCAGTTTCGCTCAACAACCTGACCATCCGCCACTCCGTTAAACCATTCCGTGCGCTAAGTGAACACTAATTGTGACTGCACCTTGATATTGGTCGCTCTCTACCAAACTTGGCGACGGTCTCAGTGAGCGCAGTCTTTGGGGCGCGAAACTTGAGCAGTGGTTCAAGATCCACTGAGCGTGATAAGAAATGAACATGGGTGAAATCCCGTGCATGGGCGAGGGAAGCATGGTGAGCTAACAGCGCCACCAGAGCACGGGAGAAAGATGCAAGCGCATTCACTTGCAAAACTCCTGGGTCTTTGTCATTTCGGAGCTAAATAAGGTGGGCGCAGACAGATGAGTAAATAGAAGACACACGGTTTCCTGTGGATTAATTGTGTAATGCCAATGTGAAGAGTTTCGTAGACTTACAGCACGCGACCATCTCAGTAATGGCGAAACACCCCATTCCTTCGCAACATCCGCCAAAGTCCGCGGACCAACGTATGCACTTACAGCAGCTTTGACCGCTCGCGTTGGCAAATGAGGATAAGCCGAATGCACCCACTCAGACGCAAAAAGCCCCAGTAAACCATTTCCTACGCTAGCAAGCGCTCCGTTCGTTCTAGGGGGGGATGCTCTAGGGTAATACTTTCTGATTGTCGGTAAACATGATGAATGGGTGAGTGCTTGTGTAAGTAATTCCGCTTTCTGCGACGGAGTGTAGGAAGGGGATGAGGTGAGAAAGGCAAGTCGGGCAGAGAGAGCATGCAGAGCAGAGGGCGGCGGCTGCTGAATCGATCCCCATTCTTCTGGAGAGAAGTGTGGTAAATCTGGCGTTTCCGTCGTGGGGCCACGGGCGACACAGCAAACGAAGGAGGAAACGGAGTTCGCGGAAGGGCAGAAAGACCGGGGCGGATTGCACGTGCAGCCATCCCCTAAACACGCAGCTCAGCTCGGAGACGAAATTAGTTTTCTAGGTTGATATCAGCGATTGCACAAAACATCCGAAAGCGAATTGTGCGAATTTTGCTCAGAAGTCAAAGTTATTGAAGCTTTGTTTATGTCGAGGAGACCCCAAACAAAACCAACTTTGAGAGGCAAGCAAAGGGTGACAGACTCTTAAGCGCTCCGGCGTGGCCCACCACATCCAGTTCTCACTCTAACAGGGATCGAGTGCGTCTGTGTGTATGAGTACGCCCACAACATCTCCAGCGGTCCCAAGGCCGCCCGGAGCCGCAAGTGCTGCAACAACGAACTCTCCTAAGCCACCGACTAGTTTAGCTCTCCCTTCTCCCCGTCCCGTTAGCTCAGCGCCACTTCCTCCAAATGCTGCGCCTTCCCCAGCATCCGCAGCGCCTCCTTCAAAGCCTTATCAATCTCCTGCGCCTTCTACTGGGGTGACGCTGCCAAGTGGTTGGCACACGACTCGTGAGCCTGCAGCGTGAATTTGTGACCTCTGGCATTACGTTGTGACGACAGCTCTTGTCTATAAGAACCCGTCCAGATTGACCCCACATTACAATCGGCCTCGGCGAGGTCATCAACGCCTACAATGACAGGGTATGGTTTATTGTATATCTCTTTGGTACCTCTTCTTCGAGCGCGTTTTATTCGTTCACAGGGCATCCACACCAAATACTGCCGGGACCACTACAACACCCAACCCTTATCCACCAGCTGTAACTTCCAGTTTTGTTCACCGCTATCTGCCGCCACAGCAACTTCCCCCTGGCGGGACATCATACACACCTCAAACCTATCCTTATACTCAGCAACCATATCCTTCTCCTTATATGACTTCTTCTACTACTGGGACAGCTGCGCCCCCTTACACTTATTACACCCAAGCTGGATATGCCAGACCTGGTCAAGGCTATCAAGTTCGAGCAGGGCCCCCCACAGCTGCGAATGGGACCTCTACGGGGACATTTCAAGTGACCCCAGGGCCCCCTCCACCGACGACTGCCCCCCCTCCAAATCCATTGGACTCATCGGACCCAAATGAACTGAAAGACGCGTTAGGTTCTGCAGGCGTGGACATCAGAGTTCGTAAAAAATGTGGAACGTATTTATATTGTGTTATTCAGGGACGACGCATTATCTATAGGCTGAACAAGACGCATTACAACGTTCGCATGCATACTACCAAGCACAAGCGGGTCAATTGGCTCCTGGAGCTGACCGTTCTAAACGGCAAGCATTTGTAGACGCCCGGATAATAGCACCAACAATACGCTCCATTGGTGAGTAACCTCCCTAACATATTATCGGTCATTTATATTCGGTCCTTTCATAGCCACGAGGCATAATGTGAAAACTGTACCAGAAGATTCAATAAACTATACGGCCCTTGCTCTACGGGCTCGCTTGCTCTCCTTGATTGGCTCGGCCATAGAAGCGCGTGATCACCGCTCCTCCTCTACCATATCTCGGCCACCTGGAATGTACTCGGATGGGTCTACTCCCATGTGGTCCACGATCGTGCGGAGAGACGTTCAAAAACAGTTAATGGCGTTAGAACGTGTTGACCGTGAAGAAGAATCTCGGATACGAAGGGAAAGGCGGGAACGCCTCGAAAACGGACCTGTTGAGACGTCGGACAACGTGGATGACGATTCTGCTGCCGGGAAGAAACGGAAGCGGCAGAAAGAAATGGGACCAGGTGTGACCGCACGGACGATGAACGAGGAAACGCGCAAACGAATGATGGACGATGCGGCTAGCCGAGCAATTGGTGGGACAGGTAAGCAGAAGTATGGGTGGATGATGGCAGGTGCCGCGGCTGCTGCCGTCACGCCAACGAAGAAGGTTGCAATAAGTACACCCTCAACCCCAGTTGCTGGATCACCTGCACCCAATGGAGTAAGCGGCACCTCTACGACTGGGACATATACCCCTTCCACTACGAAACCCCCGCCATTACCCTCAGGCGGAGGATGGGCAAGAGCGCGTTTTCCAACATATGGAACGACGGCTGGTACGGCAGAACAGGAAGAAGCACGGACGGTAACTAAGAAGGATATAGATTTTGCCATTGAGAAGGAGAAGGGTCATGGTGGTGGGCGGGGGAGTGCCAGAGGATGGACATAGCCATATTGGGACATGTTTGTTCCACTCCACACTCTCCGCCCCCGACCTACCTTAGCTTGCTGCGACGCCACCTCGCCGTACTCTATTGTAATGGATCGCCTTATCTTTGACGTTAAGCTTGTTGGTGCAAAAATGATTAGTATACTCCAGCGTGCACATATCAGTGCACCAGTGGACATGTTTACAGGATTAAGCTACAAGGCCCAAATATATACGTGAGTTGATAAGTGACGAACGACAATGGCCGCTTAATGTAGGATGGAGAATTGCAAAGATATCAATCAAGGTCCATGCCCATAGATTTCCCTTCGCCAGGACGTAATGCACTCTTTCGACTCGCTTTGACTGGCACCTTGATCTTCTCCTTGACAATATCCATTTTGGCAATCGGCTCGACAAGTTCAGTTGACGCAACGTATGCTTTCTCTTTCTCGGCCTTGGCGAGTTTCTTCTTCCTGTGTGCTTCACGCACTTTCTCGCGAGCGGCCATCATGCTAAGACAAGAAACAATGCATTTGAGCAAGACGGATAAGGAGGACGTGATGCAAATCAACTGACCGATGCTTCCAGAAGACATGCGCTCTTCGAGACTTGATCTCTGCGATGCGAGTCATCGCTTTCATCGTCTTCTGGAACAGTTCACGATTGTATCTAATTGGGGCATTTCGCCGTTTTTCGAATTCGAATGTGGAGTCCTATGGAGTGCTTCAGAAATGGAAAACTTAGGGCGACTAGGGAATACTCACAACGGTCATTTCTTTCCCGGCCGCCCTTCTAAATACTTTCGTCCATCTGAGTTTACGAGGATTCCTCTTCATTCTGTCATAGAGGATCATAAGAGATGTAAACGGTGGAAGGGAATCAAGGGTCATGGTCGTACTTGAAATTTTTGTTGCATCTGAAAGTGGTGGTGATTAGCCACAGCGAATAATGCGCGACATACAAGAGAACTTACTTCGAGGAGCAAAACCGGAATACTTTCGCATCATTTCTAACGAATGCAGTACCTATGTCGAGTGAGTTCGGTCTCGAAGACATCAAAATGGCATTACATGCATTCTCATTCTTACCTTTACCGGGGTATACACTGACCGAGCAGAAATAGCACTTTTCAATTCTCATGGCAGTCGATCCTCAGTCTCTAACGATAGGACAGTGTAAAGTAGGAGGTATCCCAACAGAACTGCAGACTCTTGAGTCTTGTCAAAATTCGGGAAGGTTGTGGCTGTACAAGAATACTTGTTCACATGATTGACAAGCGCCCCTACCCTTGCCGCAACTGAATCACAATTCCTCATTCTTTCGTAGAACCACCACTAATGGACTCCGAAAATTACGACGAGCAACCACCCTATGGTTCCCGCGAGCAATTGGAGCATCCTGTCGGCGAACTTCCCTCCGTCCCACTAGTCACCACCCCATTTCTTGGGGTGCAATCCGTGTGGTCCACTGAGATGGCGTTTGGTCGGTCCCACACTCGCACGGAGCGTGAACCATCGCTTGTTAACATCTCCTTCAGCGTCACCTTACTTGATTTCCCTTGGTCTTCCCAAGAGCCTAACGGCGTGCACTTTCCTCGCTGGCCCACTCTCTGGTCTACTCATTCAACCCCTGATGGGAAGTTATGCTGACGCTTCAAGATCTCGTTATGGTAGGAGACGACCCTTTATGCTGGGTGGTTCTGCAATCTGTGCAGCGGCCATGCTGTTGCTTGGATTCAGCAAACCGCTTGGGTCACTGTTTTTTGGCCAAACAGCTACGGTATGCTGATATCTTGTCGTGACATTCCTGCTTATCCCTCATCCACGAGGCTGGCAGGGAAATACTATTACAATAATTCTTGCTGTGGTGGCTCTTTATGTGATAGACTTTTCCATTAATGCTGGCAAGTATCAATATCTCCGCGTTCGCAGAGTGGACGCGGCATGCTGATGCTCTCGTTCAACTTGGAAGTGATGGCAGTGGACCGGGCACTCATAGTAGATGTGCTACCCTCTACGCTCCAAGACCACGCCAACGCTTGGGCGAGCCGAATGATCGGTATTGGAAACATAGCGGGATTTTACATGTGGGACCTTCGCTCCCTACTCGATTAAACTTACCTCGGCTCCACAGTGGAAACCTGCATCTACCCAATATATTGCCATTTCTTGGCTCCACTCAGCTAGAGATTGTATCCGTGATTGCAACTTCCATTCTCATTGGGACACATATACTAGCTATCGTCAGCATCAAGGAAAGGCCTCTAACGGGCCCGGTGTAAGTATTCCCATGTGACAGGCGTTGCTAGCTCACCCTTAACATTACCATAGAAAGGCACAACAAACGGTGTTATCCACGTTTACGAATGTGTTTCTCCATTTTCGACAGCTGTCTAAAGTCGTCAGGACTGTTGTAAGTAACGCTTCCCCCTGCAACCATTCTCGAGGCGCTAATCAGCGTGTGAAATTTAGTGTCTGATCAAATTCTGGTAATACACAAACTATCCATATTCAACGTCCCACTGATAAGGGCACAGGTCAAGTCAATTCGTCACAACATTCTTCGCTACAGTGTACATCAGCGATATTTACAACAAGCAATATCCAGACCAGTCCCTTTCAACGCCTCCGAAGCATTTGAGCACTGATGACGCCATTCGGGCGGGATCATATGCTTTGTTTCTCGGCGCTATCGCCACGCTTGTTGCCACCATCGTTGTGCCCTGGCTTCAAAAGAAGTTCATGCGCAGAGGTCGGAGTGGTTTGATCACTTCATCCAGCGCGGCATCGTTGGCGTTTGTTTGGGCATGTAGCAATGCGTTGTATTCGGTCCTCAACTTCCTGAGTGGGTACGTTAGCAAAGTGAATCCCTCAGAGAATCTCACTGAAGTCCCCTCAGAGCATCGAAGTCCGTAGGCTTTGCCACTGCAATAATCGCTCTAATGGGCACCTGCGTCGGCGTGGACCATTGGGCGCCATACGCATTAGTATGCATATTCCAATGTATCGTTGCCCCCGACTGAAGGATCATTGCCTTCAGATTGGTGAAGCCCTCCTCGTAGAGTCCCGAACTCATCCGTCGGCTCCACAGTCTGGATCCGGGACGCCGGACACAGATCTTGACGTGACAGAAACGTTATTGGAGGGACAAGGCAACAGTTCCTCGGCTGTTAAGAGGTGTGTCTGTCGCATCCGCTGTCCTCTTTATGTACCCATTTCCGCACCGCGATACAGCTCTGATGCCGCAGCCAGCGCTGGCGTTGTCTTGGTATGTTAGAATGTCCAATTCCTTGAACTTTGATTTTCTTAATGGCAAATTGGCTCTAGGGCATCTACAACATATTTGTAGTTCTGCCGCAGTTTCTTTTTATTGCGCTGAGTGCAATCATATTCCAGATAATGGAACCAAACCGTGATGTGATTCACCCTGGGCCGAGTTCAGTACCATCAACCGACGAAGCGAAACCTGAGGGCGGGCCAAGTGCCATTGTTGTTATATTTTGGTAATTCGTCAACCCCTGCAGACATTCAGGAACTTACTCTTCGTTTCTATGTTGCAGGTTCGCAGGACTAAGTTCTTTGATAGCAACATACTATTCCCTCAAGCTGATGATGTACCTTCGAAAACATCCTCTGGACTAGCATGAATGACTTTTTTTTTTCGATCGGCAGGCGACAATATATCTCAGATAAATCTATACCACAATCTCCGATTCATGTGGAAGTACGTTTGCCGGCACCATAGAACTTCCGATATCGTGCTTTAATCTCTTTGCCAACTTCTTTCTTGACCTTGAATGCAATGAGGCCATAGGTGAGGGCATCAAGGGGCCCCTGAAGAAATAGCGCCCATCGTGACAGGGCCCGTACGGGCACGACTGGACTTGAGGAAGCATAATCGACAATAAGCCGGGTGAGCGAGACAACGGTGAGAATAAAATACTGTTATTCAAAGCCGCAAATTAGCGGGGCCAAGGAACAGCGTCGCAATTGGGGATTGGGAACTTACCGTTAAGGGGAAAAGCAAAAATAGGAGGGCAGCTCGATGTGTCATTAGTTTGTGTACCGTATCGTATCGTTGATGTGGCCCGTTGCCCTGGGAATTTGTTGGCAGTGATTGCTGGCTTCGGGCTGTGTACTGTTGCGAACACTCTGGCCCCGCATCATACGGATTCAGATAGCGGTTACTGTTCCTGCTTGAAGAGCTGGAGTCGTGTGCGGCGAAGGACTCGGAGAGGTTGTCCGTGACCGATTCCCGGTCATTTGCCTCCGAGATCCTGATCGTCTCCAACCCATCTGCTTTAACGTCGCTTCCTTTTAGCTTACCATATCCCGCGGACGTAGAACCGAGAGTTGAGTGGGATGATGAATGAGCTATTTTGGGTTGGACCCTCGTTCCTGAAGCTCCGTCCGGTGATGAGCCCGAAGTTTGGTTGCTGGTGCCTTGTTCGAGCATATCAAGCTCAAGTTGGAGCAAGCTCTGATGTTCAGCATCCAGCATGAGCGATTCTGCTAGACCGGATAAGTGTAATGGGCGGCCAGACTGAGCCGCTTGTCGTTCCAAATTCTCCAGATAAGGGGCCATCTGTAACGCTTGTGTGTCTCCCTCGGATGCGCTGTGGGTCGAATGATGCTGCGCAGGGGGACAGTGGGCTTGATTCCCAACGGCTGAGGGATGACGCCATCGGGAAGGGTCGGTATTTAGAGGGAACCTGTCGTGGCAAAGGTACAGGTGTATTCTCCAGTATAATGCGACAATCACCAGAAATACGATGACACGAGGCAGGCAATTTATGAGCTCGTTAAACACGTTACGTTGTGACCCCTAAATGGTACGGTTATGAAAATCAATATTTCGGGCAAAGAGGCCATGTCTGTCGGACTACTTACGCTCCAACAGAAACCGCCTATATAAACGGCTGAATATAGCCCCACATGCAGGCCAGCCACACCGAGGGCAGTGACACAAACGCCAATATCAACAAGAAACCAGTATTTCTCCAATGCAAGAGTGAAACTCGACAATGGGTGCAGAAGGATGCAGTACGAGACGACGGCAACAGCAATGGTGAAAAGGTATTGGCCCCATATGGCGCTTTCCACAAGATAAGCGGAAGCTTGGCAGGCTGCAGTCCCAGTCCGGGGAGGATGCCCTGACAGAGATGCGACAAGGAAGCAGAAGAATATGACGCTATGATTTGCGATTGTCAATTCCCTGATTGAATTCGACGCACAGAGCGATCAGCTTACCCAGCCCAAACGTGTGACGAAAACAATCCGACAAGCATACGTCCCCTAAGTTTATTTTTGTTTTCCAGATTGAGGATCCCAATGAGAACGATTGAACAGCAAATAATCGAGGCCCCCAACAAGCTGGACGAGACAACATCTGCTGCTAACCCCCATACTTTGGAATATGGTGCTATTTCATACCACGGTGACCTATAGCCAGAAGCCATACTTTGTGGAGAGTTTACACCGCAATGCGAGGGAACCAGGTGATGGTCTAAATCGCAATGCCGCAGGAACATCCCAACTCTGAAACCGCAAGTCAACTGAAAATACAAAGACTTCTCCATGTTTCCCGATCACTATCAATCTGCTAGAGCGCTACGTTGGGTATTCGTGGTTCACATCTTGGTTGGACACCGGCTGTGAGGACTCGGGAGCGGTGATTGAGTCGGCAATTGCCGCAATCATCGGACTTGGAGAGGGCTGGGCGAGTTTCCGCGCCGCGAACTGCCCGACGAGGTTATTCCAGTTGGAAAACACATCCCGTTTCACCGTCAAGGCAGGAGAATGTTGTAATGCTCTGCCTGCCAATCTATGAGAATCTCCGGCAACATGTATGCGTTATACTGGATTGGGGTAATGACTTCATGCACTTGCCAGATCGAAGCCCCTATCATCCAATCTCAGCTTCGGCAGTTGAGCCTTCCAATTATAGAGACTATGCCCAGATGTGTTTTCGATAGGGACGACTTGCATTCGGTTGCGCTGCAGAGTGAGTGACAGCGACGACAAGATGTATGCGCAATCGTCCGGATGTAAGGCATCTAGCCTCTATGACTTCGTAATGATGTCCGGATGAGCCGGACGGAAGTGCGCTCCGTCAAGGCGACCGGCTCGATCGTCTCTTGGGCATGAATGCCTTCTGACGGATATCTCTGCGGCTCCAAAGGAATCACCACACCTACTTCTGGTAAAACCCCGCTTTATGTCTAACGTAAAATCAATGGAGGGAGAGAATTAATATTCTACGTTTGCTAAGAAGGATGTTTACACATAGATATTAACCGCCAGGCCTTTATTGTCCCTATTCTCTGCGACATTTTCTATCAACTCTCCATGTATTTGGTCCCCACTGTATATATGTAAGCCTGTTGCAGGAACATTGTTTTTTAATCATATTGTTCCTTCACAATAAAAAGAAGCTTCCTTGCTGGACTTCATTGGAGCCTCCTAGGCCCTAATCTAGTGGACTGGTTTTCCCTGATAAACCGGCCCCTGAAATGCTTCAATGCCCAATAATTGCGCTGGATTTTGCAATGTCGGCTTCTGGCGAACTCAGGGATCGCTCACCCGCACACGTAATTCAGTGTACATGTCTATGGACAATCAGCAATCGCAGATCTCCCATTCGGAACAAAGGGAACTTTACAGTGATATTACTTACAGCATGACATATATTCATGTCATCCGAAGTTGCTTCGAGCGAGTCGCGCGCGGTCTCAAGCTTCGCCACCAGGATGTCCAAAGGCCATAAGTTAGATTGGGGGTCAAACTCATCTACAAAGCTACAGATAAGAGAAAAGAACAATAAATGCAATATGGGCCAGTGTCCGAATCCTGTATGAGTAGATCGTGGTGGTATACATAAACAATGGTCAACGAGAGAAATGCATAAGTATTTGCCCGAGTAAATAATGCAGAAGTGGGAGAATCAAATAGCAAAGGCCATCAAATAAAGCAGCTATAATAGACCAGTCGACAAAAAACACAAACAAACAAACAAACAAACGTGATAAACCTGATTGAGCAGTACGTGGATCCCAAACAATTATGTAAATAGCAATGATAATATATCGTGCTGTTCAGGCGAGGCTTCCAAAATATTGCTTTTATCTGAATGACGGTGACTAGCGGTGTATTTCACTGCCAGCCTTGTATATGCGATCCTGGTTGGGTGGGCTGCGGAGGTTGGGGACCAGAGTCAGGATCACCGGTAAACTCGACCGGATATCGCGTCCTATTGAGATGCTGAGCTTCCTGCACGTAGACCATCTCCCCATCCTCGCCGTCTTGGGGAATATCGTGCCTAACCGAACTTTGTCCTGCAGTTTGGAACCACGCATCGTCGCTATTGGCAGCTGGGATCCCATTCCCATGTATGTGAGCATGACGAGATTGGTCAGGTGTAACCCCAGAAGTAGTAATATTATGCGAATAACCCAGTGGCTGCAGGGTGTGAGATCCATAAGGTTGGCCACTCCCGTGTCCGTGAAAGCTCGCCTGAGGAGAGTGATTCATGTGGGTACTAAATGAATCACTGTGCCGAGTGGAGTTGCTGCGGTCCAGGGGCGGCCAGACTCCCTCAGGATCAGCAGCGTACGAATGAGGATTTGGGCGATTGAAGGATTGTTGGTGTGGTAAGTAAAAAGGGGGATTGGGTTGATCAGGTGTGATGGGAGGCATAGACTGCGGGTTCGAGCGATCATATGAAGAAGCATGAGAGCTCCCGGTCGGAGAATCGTGTACGGCTCCGATGGAGGAACGTCGACTCATCTTGGGTGGCGGTGAGGGATCATGAGACAAAGGTGCCGCCCACGGAGCTGCCGCACTGGCAATCATGTCATCGGGTGGATGGATCCGAAGACTCGCGGAGTTCAATGGGGGAAGTCGATATAGCCCGGATAAAGCTGAATGTTCAGCCGTTGATTCAGAGCGTGATAAACCCCGTTGGGGTGAGGGCACGGGAGCCGATGGACGATGCTCTGGCTGAGCGTTGCTTCTCTCGTAAACATAGTACTCGAAAGGATCACGACCCTGATCAGAAAATGCATTGGGGCTTATGGGTAAGTGCAACTCCACCATTATTCGTGGATCTCGAAGCTGAGGGATGACACCATCCGACGGCGATCGTGGTCGAGTTGAATGACCAATTGGCCGCGGGCTTCTAGGACGGTTCTCCCAAGCGTATCGCAGGGTTTCAATCCTTGTCTCACCAGCTGAGAAAGCCCAGCGCATCTTTTGAAGCGCAGAAATACAAGCTTCGACGTCTTTCTCACTTCCCCCCTCTTGGCACGCCCAGCTCCCAGCATAGAAAGCTGCAAAGCTTGAGCACATGGATTGTCTAGCGCAAAGGAATGCCACTCACTTCCATCACGGACCAGAGAAGCGTCAAACTGAAAGAAAGTGGGGCTTTCTAGCTGATTGTGAATAATTTTCATCACATGCTGATGAAGATTGTGGCAATGGGTTTCAGCAAGTTCAAGGAGTCGCTTTACATTCGAGGTGAATGGCCTTTCGTTCGGGTCATCCAGGTTCTCAATGCGTGCCTCGGAGCGGGTTTGACCATGTTTAATCCACCTCTCCTTGATGGCCTCGACAATCACATTATCTTAGAAATGCAAAGAGAAGTTAGATAAGTGTATCCCTCATTACCATTTTCGACATATAGACATACAGCATTCGAATAAAAAAATCTGTTCAAACGTCAATCAACTCCTGGAGCTTAAAATACGGGCTACAGAGAAGAACACACCTGCCAGCCGCTAATGAACCTGTCCATGTCCGATGATTGCATGACGGTCGATGTGCTCGATGGTCTTGGCCCGCCTGCAAGCTCTCTGAGGTTCTCAAACTCATCCCAAGTCCCTGCGAGCGTTTCCCATGCAGCCTGAAGTTTCTGTTCGTCTATATCCTGTCTAAGACTTGCTTTCGGCCCAGTCAACGCGTAGTTGATTTGACGACATGCTGTGGACAAACGGATAGGAGCCGTTGACAGCTGTCCCAATATCAGTATCCAGGTAAAAGACGTAAATGTCGACAAAGCGACTTACACGGAAGATGAAGTGATCCGGAATAGGCCGGCTTGTAAGCGCGAGATTATTCCCCTCGTTCCTCATTCTCGGGAGCTGGGACTCAAAAATCTTTAAATCATCGTCGTCGCTGATTCCAGGTATTGGAAATCGTTACTGTGACCCCTAAATGCCACGAGAATAATTCAATACACTTACAATATCAGTTTTCTCCCTCTCAAGCCGCTGGTGATTCCTATTCCAAGGTCCCTCAGCGGAAGGAAGTCCGACACGGCCGGCTCGCTCACCTTCATGGACGTACGCGTACCAGAAAATGCGCGCGGTGACAAGTCTGTCCATTGGCCCACCATGATTCGCGGTCCCAAGGGTGCAAAGCGTGTATATTTGGGAGATAGTAGCTTGATACGTGCTCTGACAAGATGACGTGAAGCGAAGTAAAGCGATGAATATCGTTTACTCACCAAGCGATCAACAGGATTTAAGGCGTCTAGTAAGTTGGGCGACTGGTTAGCTTGGGACTTGCTCAAAGAAACGAGGACCACCTTCGGTTAGCGGCATGATAAGCATGAGCACCCGTACACCATCCCAGCTCGGCTTTCTGAGCAATGCAAGCTCATCAATTTTTTCCAAAACCTCTGCGACCATTATATTGACTCGTGCCCGTCTCCGTCTCACGGCGGCCAAGTTATCCTCAACAGCCTGAAAATTCCCACTGCTGGGACCGCTTCCCCGATCTCTTGAAATAGAGGGAGGGAATGAATTTCCAGCTCCAGCACCGTTGGACACTTCCTCTCGCCCACTCTCGTCGATCCCGTAGGAAGCCGCCCATATCACATACATGCTGCTGATGAGAGAGCCAATGGGCCCTAGCTCGTTTGGCCGCCCTTGTGCAGCAGACATGTAACGTGCACGAAATTCGACAGGGTCAACAATGGGGCCTGCATCGAACAGGGATATGATTAGTCACCGCCCACAGGGGCCGTTGTTGAAAAGTGTACGGGGCTTGTAACACTTACGCTGTGTGTGAAAACTCCTGTAAAACGGAGACTCTAGGAATTCAGGGCGCATTGACGGGATACAGCTTTGTTGCTGTCCTCTAGATTTGCCGGTGCCGACGGGCGACGTTACAATGACATTCTTCGCTGTCCGATTAGGGCCTGCAATACTATCTGAAAGATGCCCAATTGCCAGTTGTCAGCAGGTTTGTGAGCTGGAAGGATCGGGGCAGGATACCTCCAACGGAGCCAAGGGATGTACTCAGGGGACCGTCCAAACTCCCATTCTCTCCAGGGTGAGTTGGGATGTTGTTACTTTTGCCATAGACCTCTCTGTAAGTACGCCGATGGCAGAAGTAAATTATCGTGGGGACAGAATGGCACAGGTGGGAGGAGAATTTGGGAAGCAAGGAAGAACGAACTTGGCGAATGGGGGTGTTGATGAGGAGGGCAGGGCCGGGAATAAATGATCGATTCAAGGGGGTGAGCATTTTTGTAAGTTCAATTTATGTGGATCCATCCGGGCAGCACACGAGGCAGACGGGAGAAGGCACAAGGGGACGAGAAAACGGAAAAGCGCCACGATACGCGGAGCAGAATCGAAGATAAGGGACCATTTGCAGTCAGCGATTGGAAATGACATGAAGAGAAGCGGAGGCACGTACTCAACCACACGCAGACGACGGCCTCTTCGCTGGGCCTTGGGTTTACTGTCCGTTGGGTACACATTTCTGTTGGGGAGGGGGAATAACGAGAATCACCATCAGTTGGGGGGAGACCGTTGCAATGACCAGGATGATCATTTGGGTGAGGTGAATAACAATTGCAGGTTAGACAATAGGAACGCATGAATGGGGAAGGGTTTAGGAACGAAAGGAGACGTACACGCAGTTAACACCTCGCTCGCTGCAGGCGGTACAAGATGCCCCTTCACCATCAGTAGCGAGCTTATCCTTGAGATCACATCTGACTCTGCAAGACCGACCGAAATATGGGGAGATGGGTGTTCCAATAAATCAGTACTGAGTGATATGGAGAGAGGAACACAAGGCAAAGTTGAGACACTCAACTGGCGAAGCTGGCACGCTCCACACGCGCTAAACTGCTTCCTACCAGACTTCGGCTGGTTTGCCTTACGGCCAGTGCCATGATCTCTGCTTGTGGTCGGAGATGGAGTGCCTGAAGATCGAGATGCTCTGGGCCTCGCCGTTTTCGGCTTAGCACTGAACTCGAGGGCTAATTCGGGAGAGGAGAAAGCGCTAAGAGAAGGCAAAGGATCGGGTGGGGAAGTGACAAGGGGAGGAAGGTCCAGTGCACCTTGGGGCAGGAGGGGGTCCGGAAAAAGCTGAGATCCAAAGGGAGGAGGCTGAGCTTGGGTGGTTGAGGAGGCAGCCCATGGTAGTGGGTATGGATGGGCGCGGTTAGATTGCCTGTGATGAGTAGGCTGAGGTCTCCCGGACATTGCTAAAGAAGCGCAGACCGCGAAGAGCGCCAAAGTAGACGCGAGAGGAGCGCGAGGCAGAACGAAGGAGAGAGCAAGCTGAGGTTTAGCGCAATGGTTAACACCCAGAGACGAAGCATTGAATGGTCGAATTTTGGACTTTTTTTTTTCTTTTCAATTACTGATTTTCCTGGTTTTTCCCAGCTTAATTTTCGGTGGAATAGACTTCTGCATCTCAATTCAAATCCGAAGATGGTCAAGTGGTTCAATTGTCAGAGTTCAGGCACGCGGCCACAATTCCCAGAGGAAACAGAAACAAAAGTTACAAAGACAAAGAAAAGCGAGAAGCGAGGCAAATGAGGAAGGGTTAACAAATGGTGACACTATGTAATGGTCTTAACAATGTACTGATGCACAAGTAATTGCCCCAGTCACATCTCCCGGATCCTATCAATCCCTCCAGCTCGGGAAATCCTGTCCTCGACGTCGAAAATGTTAGCGACGTTGTCAAAGCGATAGCCATCCCGGATCAGAAATAACTAGCAAAACTCACAGCTTTCGCAACTCCCCGGGAGTCTTTTGCCATACATTCCGCTTCATATCCATCGACATCGCCGTGATGTTGTCTCCATGGGCATCAACCAGCGAGCGTAGCCACTTGATCTGGTGTTTCGACAAGTACGTTTCGAACTTCGTGCTCTCTGATCGGGCATGTTCCTCCAAGGCTAAGCGCTCGAGAGATGCGGAAATGGATGTAAGAACCCGACAATGACCCACAATGTCAGGAGACAGGTGAAAATGGAAAGACGAAAAAGGCATTACAGTTCAGTACACTTCCAGCTCAGAACAGCGGTGCCTGGGGACGACCGGGGGATCACTCACCGCACACAATGCCTGTTTTCGCGACAATGGGCTGAGGCTCTGGTCCATCCTGTTCAAATGGCTTTGGCGGCCACTCTTCTGCTGCATGTCCACCCTGATCGTCCACCAAAACGAAATCAATCACATTTCCATTTTCATCCCGGATCAGCCGACCCATCTGGGTTTCGGGGACTTTTGTGCGCGAAGTGCTTGAGGTGGGTGCCTCCTGAGTTTCGAGTGATGACAGGCTTATTGATTCTGTGGGGCGACTCGGACCCTTAGCAGGAGCCATAGCCGCCATGAGACCTAATGCTTCATAACTGGACAAGCAACGAAGGTCGTTGACCGGACAAGCCATGGAGGAAAACGAGGGGACGATAGGTAAGAGTCAAGGAACACTCCACCGAGAAAATGTGTACTTCTGATGCACAGTTTTACGATAATCCCAAGCTTCCTGAAGGACTTTTGGCCCAATGATTTCTGCAGAATATTAGTCTGGGGCGCCACCTCGAGAATTCGATCTGTGACTTACTAGCCTTTTTCCTTAATGCCTTTTTTACATTTGTTGTACGAACAGGACGGTGTGTCCCAGAGCGCGCTTTCCGTCGTTGCCGGGGATTGACCATCCCTCAAATTCTGCGAATTGAGTCGCGTGGAATCAAAAAAATAAGCGAGGAGCTGCTGAGTGTTGCCACAAGACAAATGATAAGGTAATCGCAGAAAGACTCAGTGAGATGCACCGCAAAGGGTTCCGTTCAATGAACAAGCGCTGACTCGGCAGTCCCCGAACCCATAATTGAATTGTAGTCCTGGACGTTTTCAACCTGACAAGAAATGAAGAGTAAGCAGGTTGATGACTTTGCTTTGACTAGTCTCCCGCGCTCAGTATGTCCGAAAAGATGCTCCTAAATGACCGTGGATTGCTGTGTCCGCGATTCTATAGCGCCGTTATCACACTCCTGTCGGCGGTCGGAGCTCAGTGTCTGATGAGCACGCTATCTGCAGACTCTTCGAGTAGATGCTAGTTCTCAACCCTGATTGACAACGGCAATATGCAGCCGTTATCGCTTTCTGGAACTTCATTTCTTTGAAATAACTCTCAACCAACACACGGATGCCGAACCGGTTGTTATTGGGTTCTTGTCAAGACAGACTCGCGGCTCCGGCGGGCTGCAGCATATGAGTACAATCATACTCATGACCGCTCCGGTGTTGTCGCACTGCGTCGAAGCCTTGATTGATGTTGGATTAAGTTTCGGACCGAAAGCTGTGAACCACACCATTATCTTCATGCGAACACGGGCTCCGGACTCTTTTTGCTGCTTCACACAACACGCTTGACGAGCAAAATTGGTGAACGCCTTACTTCATTCCATTCGCCTTTGTTTGCAGTTTTGGCATCCCGGCTTGGGTGAACCTGGCTTGGTTCGCTACGCTGATATTTGAATTAGCCGGCAATTACATATACTGGATGCCACCCCTGGACCACGGTACCTGAACTCATTCAATCAACTTATCGATCGTTCTTGTTCGCATCCCCCCGCAGTATCCTCATCATCCAATTTCCACGTGTCCGAGGGGCTTGAGCTAAGGTACGGCACTGGGGCGGCTAGGTAAAAGCCCCCTTATGCCCTCTCCCACAGCTCGTTGACCGATCACCAACACATGTCTTCTTTTTTCGTTCGCTGCGCATGCCCTCTTCCATGCCAACTATCGAACACACCCCTCATTCCCTCATTGTGTATTGCAGATGAAGTTTCCCAATTGGTGTGCGTTCCCCCAATTGAGTCCCTGCCAATTGCCACAACCTACTAGTGCTGATCGTCAAGAACGAGAATTCAAAAACACAGCGCATAAATGAAAGATCAGCATGGGGATCGATTGGAACATATTTCATCCCATTGGCGTTGGACATCGACATAGCCCTTGGCTCTAGCGCTAACGTGTTTCCCAATCATTCGGTTCTCCGCCGAAGTGGCCTTGTATAGGGACCTCCTCGAAGCTGGTGCCATCGCAGCTCGGGCTGATGCTTGCTCGTGCGTTTAGCTATGCTGTATTTGGCGAGTACCTGGGGTTGAAGGCCAGCATGAAGGTGGCCATGCGCGACTGTACTCTTCGTCCGGCCCTTATCCTTGTTAGGGTACGTGGTGTCAGTGGCAGCCGTTTTGCTATGGGTCCGAAATGTACAGATGCAACTGCATAAGTCTCACGCGATAAATCGATACGCAGGAGGACCATACATGCCCTGCTGCCTCGGTGGGAGACCAAAATCACGGAAGAAACTTCTACCATCTGCAGCGCGTATCGTCTGCTAGTAGGTGAGGGAATATAGTCATGGCACTGTGCCATGTACAACAGTATGTTCTTCCTTACGAAGGGATTATTTCACGGGGGAAGACAGGGGTGTTCCTGCGCAACTTGAGGGAAACTTCCGCGGCTGTGAAGTATTCCCACAGCGGGAGAACCTTTCCTAGCACGGACAGCACCCCTACAGGCGCGAAGGAAAATACGGCTTCGAATGTACGCTCGCCGTCCCTCTCTCACAATTCTTTCACGCACCAGTCAATTCCCACCTTATATTATTGATCGTCAATGGTACCGCATTCAGGGGTTGAAACTGACAAAGAATGCTGTACGTCTTGGGCAACACGTTGCGGCCAAGTAGAAATAACCAGTTTCGTCCAAGCCCTGGCTCCGGGGAGCGCATTGCTAATGCGCGATAAGTACTAAGCGTCGCCCCTAAACTTTCCTCTGAGTCAACCATGAACGGAGAGGACTGCGGGCCTCCGTTACCACAGAATCTCGATGGTCACGCTTGTTGCGATGGTCGCCATCATCCACAGCGACGAGATAGAGCGTTAGTCACTGAAAGTGGGAAAGCCCTTGGTCTGCATGCGCCGGCAAGGTGCGCAGGGTGTTGTGGAACGGGGGGGACAGTTTAGCCTTCTAAACTCAGTCCTTACACCTCTCCGGCGTGCCGGTCGATGGGCTCAGGGGAAAAACTGTTCGTAGTCCAGATAGATGCCGTACTAGGGGGCTTTGTCAGCCCCCAAATCGAACCTGTGCGATGGCGTAAGAACATCCCCAGGTGTGCTAGCCCGTGAAGGGACAAGAAAGCGTCTCATTAGTTTGTCGCCTTCAGTACGATGCTGACAATTTTACCGGGAAGCGGAGGGGAAAACGAATAGCCCTCGATGGACAATTCAATAGCATTGTGCACTTGAGCTTTGATTCTCAGCATCTCGGACCGAAGTTTTGAAGGTTCCGCCTCTGACGCGCTTTCAACGTCCCACCCGTTTTCGCTCCTCATTCACGTCATTGGAGTTCAACTCTCGCCCTTGATTGAAATCTCAAAGGTCTATAGATCATCCTATCGCTTGAATGCTGAATGGTGTAGCAATCGATTCTTGTCCTCTGAGAATAATCAACCCGCAAACTCGGTTGATTCTCACCAAATACCCATGTTGTCTAACAATGTACCGCTTACGCATCTTGGTGGAACTGGACCAGGTGGAAGACAGCGGTGCATTATTAAGGGTCCACGACTGATCTCCCAAATATTGATCTTTTTATTTTGTTTCCGCTCGAAACCTAAAAGTTGAGTGAACTCAACAATCCATGAACGACGGGGACGAGGAGGTCCGAAGATCCACACGGACCATGGAGGATCGATGATTTTCAGGGCCATCACAGAATCACCACGTAACACTGTCCCCAGCGACGGAATGGAGCCTCCGTCTGCTCATACTTCTCGGAAAGAGACTGGGCGAATTTCTTTTTTTCCCTCTCGGCCCTTTTCCCGATACAATGTAACCTGATGGTGCCCTCATTCCCGTCGTTCTCGTTCCCCATCGTCCGTCTCGTCCGATCCGCGTTGCCTTGCATTTCGGACACTTTGAGGTCGGAACGCCTGTTCCAGAGACATGTGTGTTCATGGTGCGTGCCCGCTGCGCAAGTCTGTTGACTCGTTTCTGATCAAGCTCGGAACGTGCCAACAGACGGACACACACGTTTCTGGAAGAGGCGTCCCGACCCCAAATACAAATGTTCGAATGTGACCACTAAAGGAAGGTCATGTAAGTTTCGGGGAGAATAGAGGGCCCCAGCTTCGAGAGGATCCTGCCCACAACCCCAGGTCAAAAATTTGCAGGACCCGCTACGGAATGGCGGGAATTTCAAAGATCTGATTCCTGATAATTGTCGGTTCGTGTGAACATGTTATTCGAACGACTCTATGATTAAGTACTGAACTTAACCCTACAAATTCGAGTTAATGAGATGAGCCATTTCCATGGTGCGGGTTGAATTTGTTGGTTGTATATGGAACATTATTCAGTGGTTTGCTTCGTTTGCTTTGGGGAAGTTTGATGTAGTTCATGCTTCCTCGGGGTGCGTTGACCGTGACGCTTTTGGGGACTGACCATATGTAATTATCGATAGATCACCGACGTTTCCTAGGACGGAATGGTACGATTCCTCAAGCTAGGTGTGTTTACAGCAAACGTTAGTCTCGGATGCAAATATGCTGAATACAATTTCAGGCGGTATATTACTCTTGGCCGAGAGCCCGCTTTGGTTGGCGGCACCGGGGGGTCTGGCAACTGATGGCGGAAATCTCGAAAGGCAGTTAATGCAGATGTTTCAGTGTCCGCTTCCAAACGCTATTCTGCCCTCGGCCCCCGCTGATCCACCATCCAGGGGTGGAAGATGTCTTCCAAAGAAATGGATCAGATATCGGAGTCATCGACAACCTACGAACATAAGTGGAGGAGCACTCCCAACTGGAGAATGAGGAGTCTCTTATTATAACCGGCCCAGTCGGCTCATGGATGGCAGGATGGGATGAATACATTGGGGGACTTATGCGGGAGAATGTCTTGGCAAGTTGCGTCATTACTCCTTCCCCACGTCCTTGCTGACATGAATGTGCCGTCGCTCAGAATTTGGCACATGCGCTGGAGCCCGTCTTCAGAGCAGGGCACACTCTACCGACGGCTAATGGATGGATTGGATCAATCAAGGGAGGTGGATTGCTCGTGACGTGGCGGAGCATGATGGAATAAAAGAGTGGCTGACTATCTTGCTCAAGTCCTCCTTTCTCCTTCAGCAAAGTTCGTCTAAAGTGGACGTACTATTCTGCAACACGCGTGTTGGATGCAGAAGCGGACACGACAACAGAAGAGGATGGACAGGGAGGGAAGGGGAAGAGCAGGAACAGAAGGAGGAAGAGATGGCCAGGATGTGGAGTGAGGTAGAGGAAAATTTAAGACTGTTGTCTCGCGTGGATCCAACGCCACTCGATGCAGGGGCTATCAGCAGAGCCGTGATAGCTTTCAAAACCTGAACGCGGATATCCTCCATACTACTACGTTACCGTCACCCTGTACGACTTGTCAGATATAGGACACTGGCTTTGATATTATAGGTTCGGGCTCTGGGTTAGCATTGGGAACTTTCGGGCTGTGCGTTAGCAGAAGGCGACCGGCGGAAATGCCCCTTCGTGTGCGGGCTTCCAAAATCGTCCATCGATGGCTAAATTTGCAGCGACGTCATGTTTGGTGGCGTGCCAACATGTACTCATTCCACAAACCGTACCGCCACACTCATCGAGCCAGAGATTCTGGGACAATTGCTTGTAGTCCTTGTTCAAAACACATGAGGGGTCCGTGAGCTTTCCATCTCGTTAGGGTTAGGACGGAGAAGTGGTTTTCATAACAGTAGGGGACGAGCTGAGCAGATCAGGCAAGAAATTTGTGAGTTGGGTGGCAAGCGATGCAGACACAATGGAAAGTCGAGTGGTTACGCAACCCACACCACAGAAAGCGGGCTGGATGTTTAGATAGGGCTTGGTGATGGAATAGTTGGGACGGAGGGCGTAATGTCAATACCAAGCGTTGACAGATAACGTAGACATAGAATTTGGAACATAGAGCGACATGTTTCCATGCCTGGAGGGCATTTAATCGAAATCGAGACGCATGTGAGGTTTGAGACCTGCTGGCACCACGAGCCTGGGATATAGCAATGTTATGTTAGGAGAGGAGTCAAGGCCTGATCCATGGTTGATCCCGCTGAACACAGATCGGGAAAAGCATCGATCTCTAATGAAAACCAGAATTATGGAGAGCGGAGTTCGGTTACATATTACTGCGTTACCGGTGTAGATATTGAGAATGTGAATCCAGTTCTATTTGTAACTCTTTGAAATGTTTGAATACATCGTAAAATTGCGACAGATATCGGAATGAGTGGTTCGATGAGATTTAAGAGGGAGGGACGCTTTCGCTGCGCCGCGTTTAGGGCTCAGCATTCCCACCGTGTTTTTGCCCGAGTTCCTACAATCGCCGATGGAGGATATGATTCAATACACCAATTTTCTGTTTGCATACACACGTCCTTTTCCGCCTCGATCCTGTCCCCAAGTACATCTCGCACCTTGATCTCAGAGCTGTGGCACGACAACTGGTAAGTTGAAGTGTTACAGCCGTTCTCAAGGGGGTGTCGGTAATGTTCAGCAGAAAGGTATGGCCAGTTACGTGTTTTGCCGAACATCGGCCCCTCACGTGAGCGAACCTTCCAAATATGGGGGGCTACTGTTATAGGAATGGAGTCTCTCGCGACCGTGTCGACTGAACGTCAACCACAGCGGGTCCTCCTTCTCCACATCCTCCCATCTCTTCCTTACATTCTCCCCGCTTCCCCCCTTCTTACACACTCACTCCGCGCTAAGCTTTCCCTTATTGGGTTTTGGTGCTGGCCGGATTATTTATTCTATTTCGCGAGATTTCTCGCGATCATTTCTTATTCAATAGTTAGCATCACGTTCATGTACGGCTACAGCCGAGAAAAGACGGAACTTAACAAATAACACACCCTCACCTTCTGTGCAACAACTGTAAACCTCCTTGTGCCAACACTGTAACGTCTGTGTAAGATTGTATATGTCTCGGTCACCATCTGTGATAACTGCGCAGTGCAATACCTCAATTAGTTAGGTATGAGTAGTGATGGACGGACTTGCCTGCGCAGCGCGATACCTCAATTAGTGAGGTATCAGCTGCTAGCGCAAGTCCGGTCCTTATATACATCTTGTAATGACTCTATGCCACTGAGGTGAAACATGAGTGGTAAACAACAAGTTGAAAACTGTCAGGGCACACCCGCCTCACCTGGCTCCACCCGGCTCCACCCCACCTGCTACCCCCTTCTTCCCCTTCCTGTCTCCTCCTCCCTCCACTTCCCCCTCTTCTTATTTCTCCTCTGTCTCATTCTCTATTCTTCCTATTTCTATTTACATGGATGACTTTCCTTGATCGATGTACTACTAACCTGCCTGCAACCCATGCACGACCCACCCAGCCCCGGACGCTCTGGACGACCCCTGGGTACACCCAGCACGGGCGCCTGCAGTGGATCCCTTCGGGATCCCCCATGGTAATACCCGGGCGGCTGGGGCTGTGCATGGGGACGACATGGCAACTCTCATGTGACCTGAGCACCATGTATATAAACATACCTGGGGTGGGAACCAGAGAAGCAGTCTTCTTCTCACCATTCCCACTTCAGGTAAGTAGCTTAGTTTTCCTTCTAATGATAATTAACACCATTCCCACTTCAGGGACATCTGCCTGTGCCGGACCCGTTACCGCACATGCCCGCTTCACACCCCACTGGGCCCTCAGTGCCAGGCGATATACCCGGACGCTCTTGACCCTGGACCGGTCCCTGACAAAAACAAAAGCGCAAAAACAAAGAGTCAAAGAGGTTGCTGCCGTTTGTGCCTCAAAGTGCCCCTCCCCTTCCCAAAGCGTGAATGTCTGGCCCGGGTGACTCCCTTGACCACCAGTGGCATTGGGCTGCAACTTCTAACACTCCCCCACAGTCCAACGTTCACGCATCTATCTAGGCCATGAACTCCATCCCAAGCATCAGGCAGAAGCGATCATGCTTTGCCTTGACTAAGGACTTCGTAAGTACGTCAGCCGCCATATCATTCGTTCCAATAAGCTTCAAATCAACTGTTCCATCCGCAACACATTCCCGTTGAAGGAGGAGAACAGAAATCCTATAAAAGGCTGTTCTTTCTTCTGATACTTATATGTTAGTATTGGTACTTTAACTCAACCACTGTAGCGTTTTGGTTGCTTTGTGTATTGATATTTGTATGTGTTACTAATTGTTTGTGTGTGTATGTAACTCTCAGGGTTCAATTCACTTGTCTACCTGATTCTACCTGATTGTTCCACACAAAAATCGCGCTATAGACCTACTATTTTTAGTTGTTTCACCTCTGTCTTGTCACTTTTAACTCGGAGCGACTCCAACCGACTTGACTCAACGTCACTATTTCTTAACTTCTTCTTAACTTTTTACTGAGGGTTGATCACTTTTACTCAGATGTGATCTGAACTGCACACTTATACTAATAAAACTTAATTTTTATTAGGACGCTATGAGCCAGAGCACGTAGGGGAGAGGAGTGAAGAAGGAAGAGGGGTCAGACCAGAAAATGCGGTCTTTTATACCTTTCCTAAGGGCTCTGTTTTCACATGTCACTTTACTATTTACATTGCTGAGTAATCTTATATTGAGCTTAGCAATCCTCTTATGTAAGCGATCAGCATCCCATTCTGCTTCTAGAACTTTCTGGAAGTTTTGGTGTGGGAATTAGCCAATTGCATTGCCTAACACCCATCATGACCTTGTTTACTCTTGTTTACTCACTTTATTCTAAGTCACATGTCATGGGGTTATTTGTTAGCTTAAGAGTGTAGCTTTCCGTCGGTATAAACAACAGTAAACTACGAGGATTATTTATGAAGATATGAATTTTTCAAGATTTAATTTTGAGGTTCTCCAGATTGCTTTGGCATTAGCTCATCCATTTTCCTACGATTAATTCTGGATAAATTATGCCTTGTTCCTGGACTCAAATTCTTTAGTTTCGCATTTCTAGCTCATCCGTTTTTACCACAAACTCAGGATGTTTGAGCCAGTCTTCTCTGCAAGTGTGTTTTAATCTTGTTAAATCCATTTCTCCCTCAATTCTTCAGATTTTAACATGAAATCTTTTTGTACACAGACCTATACTTCAACTCTTTAAGACCGACAAATATTCATATTTTTCCCTATTTTCCTCGTATAAATATTCCCAATTCTTTCATCTTTTCCTCGTACCCGACCATTTTTCATTATATGAATGCCTTGATTTTCTTCCGATTTCTCTTTGTCATTCGTTTCGTACGTTCGTAAAACTATTTTCCCACGTTACCACGAATTTCTAATATTTTATTTGATACAGGAAACCTTGTTTTTGTTTTCATGTGAGTGTATTTGCTGTTTTTCTTCATTTTCTGAACCATCTTTTAATCCCTAGACTTGAAAGTTCGCGTAGATACTCAATCCATCGACTCTGTTCTTCATTATTTTTCCGATATTTTATTTCAATTCATTTTGTTGAGTTATGATTTTATTCCTATTTTTATTTCTGGTCCGTGTGTCAGGGCACACACCCTGACTAGCCCGGACCCGGACCCGCATCCGGACCCGCACCTGGACCCGCATGTGCGCCTCCGCCCTGCACGCTCCGCGCGCCGCATGCTCCGGGCCCGGTTCCCACCCTTCATGTGACTTCCGGGTATCCCCGGAAGTTTTCGCCATATTGGGGCCACTGTGGGAAAGTGAGAAGTTAACCTTCTTCTCACTTTCTTACCCACAGTAGGCAAGTGTATCTACTTGCCCCTTTGTTTATACCACTTTCTTACCCACAGTAGTTATGCCCTGAGATGGGCTGTGTTTACAGGCTAGACTGTGGACTGTAGAGAGGGGTCATGGGGACCCGAGGTCCGTCCCCTGACACCGTGGAGGTTGTATGATTTTTATCCATTTTTTTGTGATGGTTTCTGGTTATTTTAGTGTTGTAACTTTTATATTCCTACACCGTATGAAATGATACCTGATGTCGATACTTTTGGTCATGGCATGATTGACGGGGTTTCGAGCAAGTAGGTTTGCAGCTCGGT